AAGTGAGTCAAGTTGAAAACTAACCCGCATAAAAAATTTACATTTTTTTCAAACTCAACCTAACTATTATTTTATAATTTTTTTTTGTTTTTGTTTTGGATCATGTATCAATGTCAATATTACGAGGTGTTAGTATCATTTATCAGTGTCAACATCACATAATAATATCAATATCAAGTATCAATGTTTTGTATTCAATTCAGTTTTTATATTTATTTTTTAACTCAATTAAATCTCAATTTTATTTAAAATGGAACAATATTATCCTTACTCAAAATGACATTGATTTAATAATTAAATATAATTATAACTTATATATTCATGCTAAAATAATTTCTTAGAAATTATACATCAAATCAGTTCACATAAATGCTGAAACTAATTTATCTTTTAATTTAACTTTTTTTAAAAATGCATATTTTAAACTAATATTTCTTTTTAAATTTTGATCAAAATGTGTCCTGTCCATCTTATCTTATCTAACAATGAACTTGACTATTGACTGGAAGATTCAACTTATCCTTTAAAGAAAAACAAAAATAAAATATTACAAATGTAAATGTCAAACTTTTATTGTAATTTTTAAATTTTAATATTTAAAAATAAATAAAATAATGTATTTTTTTCTAGTTAGCTTATTTATAATTTTAAATTCTCTAAAAATATTAATATTATGATATGAATTTTAAATTAAATTATTAATATATTTTATATCTTTTAAATTAATTTGTCTACTTAAATCAATTTTGTAAAATAAATAATATTTTGTTTTTGTATTTTTTCATAAAATGAAACAAGTTTTGTAATTTTTGATTGGTAAGTAGACAAAATTCAACTAATAAATTGAATCAATCTTATAATTAGGTAGGAGAACATTGCCTAATTTTTAAATAAAACTCGAACGAACTCAATCGAGTAAAAGAAAAATATAGAGTCTGATCTATTGAATAAGACATCGAGTGACACTGATACATTATAGGAACACTGTCATGTAGTATTATTACAGTCACAACATGACATTAACACGGATAAAAACTTCAAGAAATAAAAATAAAATAAATAAAAAATTATAAACTAAAACGTGATATTTACAAAGACATTAACGTCAATTCAATATCATTTATACAAATCTAACAAGAAATACTAAATTGAATCAATTTAGCAGGAAATAAGACTTGAATACTTATAAATATAAGAAGTAAAACAAATCAAAACAATAAATATTGAAAATAAAATAGTCATTAAAAAAATAAAATTGGATATGATTAAATACGGTAGTATTAGAAGATAGTCGTATTTAAACACAGTCTACACTGATTCACCTACTTAGAGTTATCATGATCCCTTGGAGTCACATTATACTTTCAAGAACAAAATATAAAATTGTAATAGTTTTTTTACTACAATAATAGTAGCAATAGGTGATGATGAATGTCAAAACTAGTTTTGGAAAAATAATTTTATAAAAGTTTTGTAAAAACATATTTAAATAGAAGGTTGAGCTCTATATTACTTAAAAATCATTAGACCTAACAAACCAACTTTTTAGTTAAAGACAAATAATACTTTTCAGAATTATTGAATTATTTTTATGGTACTAAAATCATATATTTATTGTTAAATAACTTTCAAATAAGTTATGGCGGAGGTTATGTTGGATTTTAAAAATAGAACTCATCACATAAAATTAAACTACTTTAATTCACTCATATCTCATATTTTGAATTAAATATACGATTTCTAAAATAAAGCTTTTATAAAGTGACCTATTAGTTGGTTAACTTATCTATATATTTTTCTTTGGAATAGACCTTTTAAGTGACAAATTTATCAATCTGATGTAATTTTATTTGAAAATTATCGAGAAAAAAAACATTATTTTAAAAAATATTAAATATGTTTTAAAATTTTGAACTTTGATATGAAATTAAATTCGATTTTATCTTTGATATATTTTAATTTTAAAATTTTAAAAATAAATAATATAATCATCTAAAATTTAAATTTTTATATCTAAAGTTTTGAAAACTAAAATATATTAATTTTAATTTAATATTAAAATTTAGAAATTAAAAATATATTTAATTTTTAAAAACTTTTATGTAAATAAGCAAGTGGTGCCTATAGAGAAAATCATATGAACCAAACACCACCTTAATAAATATTTATTTTATTTTATGTGCAAATAGATACAACTTAAATTTTAATAAACTGAAATTAAACTATGAAAAGCACAACCTCAATTTATAATATTTTTCTTCATCGAAATCACGAGTGAGTTAAGTTATTTTCATATTGTATTGAAGTAGTACACCGCCAACCCGACTTTGACATTAACGAAATTCGTCCTTCTGAGTCAGCTGCATGAGTACTATTATTTTCTTGAGCAGAGGTAATTTGACACTAACAAAACGACAAAATTAATTCATTTAATGTGGTTTAATAATAATATTTTTTTTAATATAAAATCATAATATATATTATTATATTATTAAAAATAGTGTCAAATGAACGTTTTTTTAATCCGTGTTAAACTAACTTTTTCCTATTTTCTTCTTGTTCAAACTACAATCCCTAGAGTTTAGCAACATGCTTACAATCCTTATCGATCTCCGTTCCAACTCATATTATTGGACAATGTAAATCTACCTTTATTCAATGAAAATCAAGTACCATACACACACAAAAAAAAAAGTCATTATTTAGTTTCAACCCATTGAAGGGCGAACAAAGTAGCTATAGGACAATTCATATGAAGTAAACAAGGAAAATTACATTGAAACTCCATGTTTAAGCAAAGCAGACTTTGAAAGATAATCTTTGACCTATGGTGAAATCAGACATTGCAACTGTTTGCACTACCATGACAACACCTATACTGAATTGATGTCACTTCCATGACTCTTCCACATGAGGTATTTGGGCAAGTTATGGTGGCTAGAACACTCGAAGTATGATCATATGGGCGACTAGCATATCTCTCTTTCACCACATCATAATGTTCTTTGAAGGCTACATCAAAGGTTTCTTTCTCGAGCACTGTGTTTTTCCATTTCTCAAATTCAAGCACAGTTTGATACATAGGCTCACCATGACCCAGTAGCTTTAAGTTACGCCCCCTGCTAAGAACAACCCATCCCAGTGGATCTTGTTTAAGGCAAAGCAAGGTCCTCACAATTTCCTGAATTTCACAGTCCACTCTTCCCTTGCACTCCTTGTTCTTCTTCTTCCCATCAAGACCGATCCAAAATGAGGGTACATGGTCAGGGTTATGCTCCCCCAGCTCATACCTCTCTATGTTAACGTCCACATTATTAATCTCATGCTTCTCAATTTTTCCAATTGCGTTCTTCATGTTTTGGATCCAATTACTGTCGTTACCTCCATAGATGAAGACGCAACTTGTATTATCCCTTCCCAACAGCTGGTAATTCACGTGGTAAACATATTAAGTACAGTAACAAATTAGTTAAATGCAAACCATTTGATTCATGGATATAGCTGTATGTTCGAATTAATGATTCTTGTAAGAAAAAATTTCCATATGTTACATGCAATTGTATATTTGCGCTTACCTTTGCCTTGTCATCTGTTTTCTCCAATAAATTCCAAAACCATTTCCATTTTTTGTTGAGATCATCAACATCAATTTGCCTAAAAGGAAACGCTTCGGTCTCCCATTCAAAAATAATCTGCAATGCATTCTCATTTATTATCTGACCTTGGGGGTTGATCACTGTCACTACAGGCTTGCCATCGTATTTAAGTTTCTGCACTATTATCTCGTATCCTGGTAACTTTTCAAAGTACTCCAACACGTGCCATTTCATGCTTTTCTTCAAATTATAAAACTTCTCCCTCCTAGTGTTATCGGTGTTCCAATCATCCACAATGGGGATCCATAAGATCCTGAAATCACCTTTCTTGAAACCTTTTATTTCTTCTCCCGCGTGCTCTTGCAATCTCTTGTATATGGAACTCAGAAGCAAAATCTCATCTCCAATGCTGTCGAGGCCCGAAATGAACAGCATTACGTATTTCTGCTTGAACACTTCAATACCCTGTTTTGTAAATTACACAAGACATGAAAAGGACATCATAATTTACATTCAATGTATTCAAGGGGATTTTGATGTATAAGTTTATTTTGAATGAAATTTCTCTTTTTTGAGAACTTTTTAAATTGAAGACTAATTTTCAAATATCTAAAATAAATTAAAGGGAAAGCTTGTCACGGAATTTATAAAAATAGTAATTGTTACTGTAAGTTAAGTCTAATGCAAGTGTCTGGTTTAACACAAACATTTTTAATTTGGACGCCGTCTTCAAATATTTTGGGTATGGAAGTTTCGCTGTCAGACGCAGGAATAATCAGAATGTCCAACAGATCCACAACATCTTTAATTTTAGGATATCTAATATCGATACGGATTTTGTAATCTTGTATCCTCCCTGCAACAAATTAATGAAGAAATGTCCTATTAGTATTTGAGGTAAAAATTCCAAAGGATTGGATGAACAGAAAGCCTTTAAACACATGTATACCTATTTCCCATCTGCCATTTTCCATATGGGTCTTCAACTTGATCACAATCTTATTAAGCCTGTCTTTGAAGTTTGATAATTTATGTTCCCTGAAACCAAAAAAGTTAAGTAAAAGTCCATTTATATTCTGCAACAGTTACCCTTGTCTTGTTAAAGTGAAACAAGGCGAGATTCTTTAAATAAATTTTAAAGTTCTGTAATACTGATAATATAATTTAAAAAAAAAAACATTTTATCAGAGTCACATTTTTACTACATTCACTTTTATTTCCAGATTATGTAAATTAGTTTGCAAGGAAAAGGACTTACGATATACCGACGAGGTTGCCAACGGAAGCAACAATGGAAGCAATTGTCCAGTAGACAGCAAGAGGGATCTCTTGCATGGCAGCTAACAATGAAGGCACTGCCTCTGTGTCGTAATCCATAGCAGACCATTTTTCCCACAGATTGATGTAATTTAACACTTCCCCTAAAACTGTGACCAGATCAGTCATGTCTGCAGGGACCTTTCTGCTAATTTGGACTTGGTTAAGCTGCTTCAAAGAGTTCCCGAATTGATCTGCTACTTGAACCCGATCAAGCCGCCAAAATTCCCCATATTCTAAAGAGAATGCAGCTAGAGCTATCACCGCCTTCGCACCCCACGAGAATCCACTCAGCTGCTGAAGAATCTTGAATGTTGTCTGGTGTGCACATTCTGGACTTCCACGTGTGGTTATCATCTATTGCTCGTTGATAGCCGTTACCATAATCAATTATCAGCACCACAAAAAAAAATCAAAAACCCCATAAAGTAAACTCATAATATGATATGCTAATAACCTGACAAGAAAGCCGCTTCAGAGTAGGGAAGTCCGGTTTGAAACTTGTGGCAGAAACCTGTGACATATCACCACCCAGTTAAACATTTACATGTGTCATTTGTTTAGACATAACGATGTCATATGCATGCTAAGGTTAAGGTGTAACAACGACGAACGAATTTTAGATAAATTTGTAAACGGTAATTACAGTAGTTGCTGAAACTTGAGCTGAGGCGGAGTTGAGAATGTTGGACACAAGGTTGAAAAGGACATCCCCGTCGTACTCTTTGTCGTCATTGACGTGAGTGAGATAAACCTTGTAGCGGATCTGAGAGTCTTGGAGCTCAAAAGGGTTGGGGAGTTGGTCTTTCTGCTGTGAAGTGGTGACACTTGCAGATGGGTTGAGCAATGCCAAAGCCATGGTGATTACTGATTTGTATCTTCTGAGGAAGTCTGTGTTTGAGAGCAGAGAAAACCTTGTCTTGTGATGAAGATGCTATTGCTCCCATATTTATATACGCAGTTTAGCGGTGAAAAACAAAACACCATGTTGCTTCTGAAGTGGACAATGATATGAGCGTGAAACATGTGGAATGCTGGGAATTTTGTGATATACCCTCAAGTAATTAGGATTATTTAGGAATTTGAGTCAAATTACGCGGGGTATAATTACTCTTTTACATGAATTATTATTATTTAGAAAAACTCAAATATATTTACAGAAAGAAAAGATATATATATATATATATATTAAATAGGTTTCTTAAAGTAATAAATGTGCGCATAACTTTACTCTTCAAGCTCTGCTTTTTGTTTGTATCTTTCAATGTTTTTTTTTTTGTTAGAGTGTGAATTTGAAGGTGAAGGGACTTTCGCTTTAACACTTTCATTTATTTTATTATAATTTATTTTGAAATTTTAGGTAGTTTAGGTAAAGCTTAATCTGATTTAAAACTTAATAATGGAGCTGTTAATAGTGGATTATAAAAGGTATACATAATTTTTTTATTAGCTTTTATTAGTAATTTCATGATTGAATTAGTAATTTGATCTCTATTTAAATTTATAATTGACTTATATTTTTTTATAATGTTTTTATTCAAATAAATCGTTATTTTTTAAATATTCTATTAAATATGTTAATAAAGTGTTTTAGGTATCAAAATTTGAAATATCTTTTATCTTTTGAATATTTTTTTGTTGTTGTTCTCCCTTCACTTTCATAGTCTTTCACCATCATTTTTCTCTTTCTTTCTATATTTTCCATCATCTACCTTCCATTTCTCTTTCTCCCTTTTTTTCTTTAATATATCCTTCTCCTCTTTATCCATTCTCCTTCTCTTAGGTTTTTATGATTTATATAGATTGTTGTTTAAATTTTGGATGAAATTGAATGTGTTGGGTGATTATTACCTATTTGAAATTTGAAGTTATGTGAGAGATGCGTACCAGGCTATCTGTCAGTCACTTGTCAAGGCTTCACCTGATCATGGAGGGCGTACTCAACTGAGCCCGGTCACCGGACCTGAACCATGGGCTCTGATACCATTTGTAGGGAGGTTCAACACACAAACATACACATAGATATCTCCACAGTGATAAGATATTGTCCGCTTTGGGCAAGCCCTCACGGATTTGCTTTTGGTACCACTCCAAAAGACCTCTTATCAATGGAGGTATATTATGTGTATATAAACTCATGTTCATCTCTTATTTTATCCTATGTAAAACTTTGTTTATATCCAACACGTATGAGATTTGAGAAGGATTTTGGTGTATGTAAGATGATGGAATGAGATATGGTGATTGAATGAGACATGGTGATGATTTCTATTAAATTATGGTATTCCACCTATAATTAGATGGAACATATTCTCAAAATTTGATCAAATATACTTACATCCTTCTTGAAAAATAGTGATAACTTAAATTCTCATTACTGCAACCGTACTCCTTTTGAAATTTCTAATCAATTTATGAATTTCAAATCTGTTTCTGGTACTTTTAATATATTCCGTTTTTTTTATATATAAAAAATCCAACTTATTTTGTGATCTAGTATATATATATATATATATATATATATATATATATATATATATATATATATATATATATATATATATATATATACACGTGATAGTTTCATTCAATTTTAACATTTGCTAAGTAAATGAGAATATGCTCTAAAAAAGAGAGTAAAAGGGGGTATTGATCGATTCAGTAATTAATACACTTAACCAAAATTTAATAAAATTTCTTTATAGGTAGAATGGTAATAACATAAATTGTATTTATAAATTATATCTGTAGGAAGTATGAATGAATAAATAAGTTTGCTAACAACCTCAAACTTTGGTACAATTGCTTCTTCTTTTTTCTTGATTAAGCTCAGGCTTGCTTTGGCATTATATAAATTCATTGATTCTCTAATGTCTCAAAATATAAGAAAGGTTAAAAAGGAAATTAATTCGTTATAAGGAAGCTTCTCTCTTTTTCTTTAGTAAGAACCCTTTTCTTTAGCAATTGAAGTATTCTATAACAAGTGGGTGTGTTTTCTCTTTTGTATTATCCGTGTTCTTCAAGTTTGTTTGCATAATTTTCCAATTATATAAATATATTTGTGTGCAATTGAGGTGAGACACTTTGTTTCATCATATAAATGCTACAGTCGTATCAAAAATTAAAAAGGAATTTGGAATTTATTGATGTTTCTTCCGACTGAAGAAGTCTTACAGCCACAACATTCTATTGGATCAAACTACAAAGGATTAAGGGGTTAATCATATGATGATGGATTCTCTTCATTCTCATTAACGATAATATTTTCTTAAAGTGTCAGACTATAATTACAAAACAAAAGCTCAAAATAAAAAATTAAAGTAATGCATAATGATGTAAAATAGCTTTACATCTAACCATCTAACATCTTTATTAGGAGTAACTTACATTAATTACAAATAACAAAAGTATTATTTTTTGTTTAGAACTAACCCTAAGATTATTAGTCTTAGATAGACTTTATATAGAAAATAAGTTGTTTAAAATTCGAAAAATATCTTTAAATTCAAGTTATTGAGCAATTAATGTTAATCTATATTACCGTTTACCAAATAAAAAATGTTAATTTAAAAAAAAAACTATATCCATTATTTTTAAAATTTAAAACTAAAATATATTAAAATTGAAAATAAAAATAAATTTCACTTTGAAATTTAAAAACTAAAAACATATTTAATTCTATTTTTGTTTATAAATAATTTTTACAAACAATTTTGTCTTGTTTATAAATATTTATATTAAGAAATATTTGTACTAATAAATATTTATACTAACTAAAACAAAAACTATTAAAAAATATTAAGTAAAAATAATAAATTTCCATATATATATATATATATATATATGTGTGTGTGTGTGTGTAAAAAAAGGATGTAAAAGAAAAATAATAAATAATATAAACAATTTTCATATGAAAATATTTACACATTTGTCACTATTGCTGATTATGATTTTTTTTTCAGTTTTTTTAATTAAAAAAATAGAATAAATCTAGCATATATTTATTTTATCACGGATTTTCGTCATTTCACAAATAAATGATGGATCATAATAATATGGATTCAATTAAGTTTACTAAGTCGAATTTTCTTTTCACGAAACGTAGTAATTAAAAAAGTCAATAGATATATGTTGTATTAATAATATAGTTAAAAAAAATACTAATTATAGTGAGGAGTTGAAATGACAGATACAAACTTTTTTTCTATTTCTATTTTCATGAGAATCTAGTTGGTAGAAGGTGATACACAGTTTCCACTCAATTAAAATTTAGTTTCAAGTTTTTCTTACTTCAAATCATTTTTAAATTTCGTGTATTTTCAATATTTTTTATTATCTTAGAATTATTATTATTGCCTCATAAACAAACGACTATCGGATAAAATAACGTATTATTAAACTAAAAAAATATTCAAATTATTTTAAAATATCCCGCGTGATTTTGAAATTGATTCTTAACTTTTGAATGGTTGAATTTTGAGATTTGTTACGAATACAAACCGTATTGTATTTTTTGTTGTTTAATTATTGGTTTGTTTTAGGTGTTATATACATGTTTTGTTTGATAATTAAAATTGTTGCCTTAATAGCAAAAACATGTTGTATTAGAGGTATAAAACTTGTTTGTATAGATAAAAAAGAAAAAAAAATGGAGTTAAAACTATTGTATGAATTTATTGATTTTCTAAAATTATTAGTTTTGTCGCTTAAGAAACATTTTTTTACTAAAATATAATACTCCCAAATTAAGTGAAAAAGATTTCGCATGAATTTGTTCCTTCAATAAAAGTATCACTTAAACATAGAGATGACACTTAAATGATGTACAATGCGATAACTTTATCAACCAAATTATGTGAGTTATTCTTTAAACAATATATTTACTATTCAACTTTCATTCATATTTGTCTAAAATTTATTATTTAAAATTAATTTATTCCATGACAGGTTAATTTAAGTTGAATATTTTATGATATCGATATGCAACATGTGATGAATGAATATTGGATGATAATGAAAGATGTTTTGATGTTCTTGGTATTATTAAACTAAATATGATATATTATGTAGGTAGTATTGAGGGAAGTACTAGTGAGTTGATAACATATAATACAATATGAATGTTATTAAGAGATTTGATTAAATTTTGAGTTTTATTAAGACAGTAAGTTATATAGGCAAAGATATTATTTAGTGAGAATTTATTAAAATTTATAACTTGAACATTAGTTAATACTCAATAAGATATATAAAGGTTTATTTTATCATATAAGATTATTATATATATATATATATCATTATTTTATTAACTCGTGTATGTAGGTATTGTTAAAAGTTTTAAAAATAAAAAATTGTTAAAAATTCATTTTCCACGTATATAAATGAAAATAGAAAGCCACATCTAAGTTCATATTTGTGATAAATGTTTGTCTCTAAATTCAAGTTTAATATCAATCTTTTACGACCAATCCATCATTATATATAATATTAACGGAATGAATAATATTTTTGTACTTGTGAATATGCATATATTAACATTATTTTTCTTATATGCTTAATTGGATAATTTGTTCATTCTTATATTATGTTGGTGTCATATTATTCTATTATAATCTTATGTTAACATCAGAAATACATACGTTAATAAAACCAAGTATCTAAACATATGTATACTTTTTTTTATGTCATATTTATTTTATTGCATAACGCAATGTAAATATATGAAATAAGTAACCAAGACGATAATATATATTTCGTATGTTTAATGAAACTTAAAATGGACGTTAGAGATTGTGCTTTGGGTGTAATTCGAACCCATCAATAAAAAAACTAGTAGAAATTAAGTATTGATGCTACAAAGTGATAAGAAACAAAATAAATAGAAATGTAAATGTGGATTAAAAAAAAACGTAATTTATAACTTCATTGAAAAA